TCTTTCTCTTCATTAAATCCATTTTTTAAACCTACTACATTTGTGAGGAGAGGGCTCAGAGCTCTGGGTCCAGAAACTCAGCAGCCAAAATGTATTTTATAAAGGACTTACGGAGACATGAAGAAGTATGTTTTTCCGTGGGCTGCCTGAGGCCTATGACTCCATACAACATACAAGAAAGAAATGAACATTGACTAGAAGAATGGTGAAAGCATAAAAGTGGGTCCAGACCCCTTTGTGAAAAGTATGTTTTCAGAGAGATTGCCATGCAGCAGGGAGGAGTGTGAACAGAAACTCCTCTGAATAACCAAGAGAAAATAACTCCAATTTCAGGAAACAAAACAAAACAAAACAAAAACAAAAACAAACAAACAAACAAAAAAACAAAGCTGAATACACACACACATACCCCAAACACAGAGGATCTGCAATTTAATATAACTCACATTTTTTCCAAGCCTCCAACTTTTCCCCATCTCCTCACTTCCCACTAGGAGTCATATGCAAATGACTCACTCAGTCATCCATTTGGCTATGGACTTGGCTAATAAGAGAAGCATCACTAGCCCAATGACAGGGTATAGAGACTTCAATCAAAATCCAAGTCGCACCACATCCTCAATAGCATGCCCTTCAGCAGTTATCCCATAATACACTTAGATTTCCTCTGTCTTGTTATACCCACACACACATAAAGAATGTTAAAATATTTGTTTAAAAGGATCCATTTGCTTTGCAGAATAGGAACTTGTTGTTTAAATTCTCCTTCTGTATAGTTTCTGCATAAAGGAAATCATATGATTGCTGAACTCATACTTGAGTTATTTAAGTACGCCAAGTTGTGCTGAAACAAGGGAGAGTGAAACACTTTAAGATGTAGGAAGACACCAGAAACTTTTTCAACGGTTGCTTTGAAGGCACCATGTACACTATCACATTGTGAGTGACTGAGTACCAGCTTTTAGGAATGCAACAAAAAGACATTCATATAGATGCATCAGGTGTTCAAGAATAAGGATTTCAACAGCAGAGCGGTGTGAGGTGATATAATGAGAGGAATCCATCAATTTGCATTTAAAAATCTAAATCTGAACAATGATCTATGCCTCATAATATACTGGGATTTTGGGGGGAAAGGGGAGTTAATATTTCATTCCTTGCAATCACTCTGTAGTGCTCAGTCAATAAATATCTGAACTTGTGAGTTGACTGGTATACTGAAATTGATTTGTGTTTTCGCTAGTTCTTTAACGGTAAAATGGTTGAGAAAAGGTATAATGGTTAGAAACACAGGCATAGATGTTTGAAGCCACAAGAGATTTTAGAGATTCTCTATCCAGCCCTCTCATTTTATCAATGAGAAAATAATGTCAACTTTGAAAGGTTCCACAGATTAAAGTGGCTAGAAGAAAAGTGAACATTCACATGTTTTCCTACCCAGCAGGGAGCTGCATGAAGGCAAATTCTGGATCACATTCCTTATTATGTATGATATTGTAAGAGGTACAGAGTAAATGTTGAATAAATAAAACTGAGGCATGTGACTTTTCACAGGTTCAAAGAGTTAGTAAAAGGACCCAAGCAACTTGAATTCTATCATCCTCTAAGCATTCTTACTCATGAGAACTTTTAGATTGAAACATAGGGAAGTATTAATATTTGTGCTCCAACATTAGCTCTCTGTGTTCTGTAAATGTATCCTTTATGTTCTAGCCAACTGATTAAGTTGTAGTATGTATTTGAAATATCTAATAAGCGAATCAATAATTGAATAATAATTGAATTTCAAATTAAATTCTTAAGGAAATTATTTTTATAAAAAGTTTCCCTAATAAAATGTAACATTTTAAAGTCCATTTCATAAACCATGATTTTTTTCTGAAAAAGATATTTCTTGTAACAAAATTTTAGTATGAGAAATAACCATTTCATTATGACCCAGTTTTACCTGAAATGTAATATGTATAAGTCAAGCCATTACTACAACAAAAAAAGTAGTGTTCATAGTTAGCTTGTAGAAGAGGAATCTAATCGGTTCTGCTATTATAGCTTTGTAAAAATATTCTACCATATTGGGTTTTCAAGAATGATACAGTAAGAGAATTTGATTTTGTTCTTGGTTCCATTATCTAGATGTGCAAAGTGTAAAGACTTCTCTGCTTAATTATTTTGGAACATGATTTCTGGGTCCAATTGGCTTATAGGTGACCAAAACCTTAACAAGTACCTAGATTGTGATCATATGTCTTATCATGACCCCTCAGTTTTATGTGCAGAGATCCTAATCATCTTTCTGCAAAAATGTTAGTTGAACCAAATTATTTCATTTACTATCAATAAAAAATCATTTGTGCTCTATATTTACAAGTATTATATAAAATAAGTTTTTAAAGTGTGATTCTGTTCCATCTTAAAATCCCAAGTAAAATAAATTATGTAAAAAATTCATGAACCGAGCATAGTCGCTCATGCCTGTAACCTCAGCACTTTGTGAGGCCAAGGTGGGAGGATAGCTTGAGGTCAGGACTTTGATACCAGCCTAGGGAACATAATGAGACCATGTCTTTCAAAACACACTAAAATAAATTAGCCAGTCATGGTGGTTACATGCCTGTAGTACCAGTTATGCAAGAGGCTGAGTCAAGAGGACCACCTGAGCCTAGGAGTTCAAGATTGCAGTAAGGCATGGTTGTGTCACTGCACTCCAACCTGGGCAACAAAGCAAGACCTTGTCTCTAAAAAATAAAAATAAACAAAAATACCTTGGAATTCTGTTAGTGTTTAAAAAGAACACATTTATTCAACTATAGTGTTTCTTTTTAAATACAGTTTACTCCTTGAAATGGTAACAGTCAGGGGTAAATATTAATGTATTTTAAAACTTTTCATCTATTTCAAAGAAAAGACAAAAGAGCATATTACAGTTGCCTTTGTCTGAATCACCACACTGAGAATGCAAAAAGCGGTGTTTTGATTATCCAGTTTCTTTTCTCTTGAAAACAGCCCAAGAAAAAAAAATTATAATTCAAAATTTCTTAGAAGCTATGAAATAAGATCAGAGAGAGGAAAAGGAAAGAGGCAGTGTGACTTTCCAGTGCCTGGGCATACTATTTTCATTCTGAAAAGCTAATGAACAATTTACATTTTCTAGCACTGCAATGTTCCAGAGATCAACTACAAGAGGATAGAAGCAGAAGTATTTGTATTTGCTTGCTGCAAGCAAGCAAATTAGAGAAGTGTACAAACTGTGATATTTGTGTGTGTATATGTACATATGTATATATGTATATGTATATATGTATATATGTGTATATATACATATAGAGAGAGTCAATTTTTCAATCCAGGAATTCCCTCTTCAGTAAAGTAAATCCATATTCAAATACAGTTGGCATCCAGGGTCATTCAGTAATGCCTTATACACATTTCAGATGAAAACATTCATCTTTTGCTGGAGTACACTCTCAAAGGGTATGAACACACAAACACAAAATAGCTTGTATATCAATTTCTGTATTCTATCCTGGAGGAAAAATATAAAGTGAGTGAGGATTCTAATAATGATGAATTATTAAACAAGAGACACTACGATATGTTTTCCAAATTTCATTCATTAACAACATACAATAATTGTAAAAATCTACTTGACTTTGACTTGGCAATCTCTTAAGTGGCACATCTATAAAGCAGTGTTGTTGCACATAAAAAATGTCATTTTTAGGGTTATGTTAATTTTCAATTAGTTTTCTTTAGCTCATTTTTTCCACTAAGTTTATTTTCTTCTTTCTAATTTTATATTTACTTTAATAGTTCTTACCCAATATATTGCCTAAAATTATAAGAGAATAACACATTCACTTGCTTTGAACGATAAATTCATTTGACTGAGACAAATCCAACTAACATCACAAGATACAGCTTCATCATAGATTTTTTTAAACAAAATATTACAAGGTATTTGCACATGGAATGAAGGAATCACTATCAAGTTAGATTCCTCGCATACGTCATATTACTACTTTCTCATAAGTCAATAAGGAAGATAGTAACGCTTACAATACTTAAACATAGAAAGAGGTTTGCTAAGGTTGAAAACTTTGCTAAGACCAAATAGTTATGAAAAGAGAAAGCTAGAATTAAAACCCAGAGTATGACTTTTTCTAAGACCCATATCATTTCTCTGCTTTCTCTCAGAGCCTAGAAACCACTTAGGCCAATTTATTCGCATGAGAAGTAACTAACCGGAGGTCCAGACATAGTAAAATTATTTCCCTGGGTGCACATGGCCAGGAGGTGACAGAGCCAAGTCAGGCAAATCTTCATTTGTTATACTCTACTAGGTGGCCTTGGCTTATTTCCAACCCTGAGCCACTTGAAATAATGACATGTTTCTAGAAAACTGACTTCTGTCATTAGGCTACTTCAGCAACACTAGCTTAAGTTGAGCTCTTTTGGAAGTCACAGCAACATTTTGGGCCAGGAAAGTACTAATAACTAGGAAGCTACTACATAAATATAACTGTATTGAAGTTCAAGAATGGCCTTCAATGACTACATTTATAAAGGAAGAATGGGGATGATGATGAAATATTCAATTCTAAGTAATGTGTTAGGAAACAGTCTTTCTTTCTCCCAATTCTTTCAATTTCTTCATCTGGCACATTATCAAAGCTATATGATAGACTGGTGAATAAAGACAAAGCAGATGTCTTTGTTTCCTTATGGAATAGCCTTTGACCACTAAAACATTTACAAGATCAATGTTTGTTTAATATTTGTAAATCAAAATATTTGTTTAGAAGTAGACAAATATTTCATTTAATTTACTTAAGTCTGATGGAAGAGGATGTGGAATCAATGTCACTTGCTATGTTATTCCAGAACATGTCTTCACATGGAAGCCACCACCCTGTACTCAAGACGGCAGTTGGGTGCACGAAGGTTATACATAATAGGCAATCATGATAGGCAATGGAATAGTGAACATTTAGCCAACTTACTCTTGAATTGACCACTTCCAGGGAGACGTTCTGAGGCGGGGCACTTGGCACTAAAAGGAATCAAACAAATTGTCACAATTACTGCCAAAATCTTGAAAGAAAAATACCAACTGTCTTGTAAAAAGAGAGTGTGTCTTTTAATATAGTTTATAATGATAATTAGGGAGGTTTACCCAGGTGGTACTTCAAAAATTTTTGGAGAGATGAAAAATAACTGTATTTGTCTATTTTTTTTCTCACTTGGCAAGCCAGTTAACTTACTCACCTAGGGAGCCCCCAAAACTGTTACACAAGAGAACGCAGGCAGTGATACCAAATACCATCATTTAATTACAGCCCTCTTGTGATAACTTTCCCAGAGAAACAAATAAAAACAAACAGGAGATTTCTTAGAGTAGTTTTAAAGGCTTAAGATATTGTGCATTTCAGAATCTGCATAATTTTATGATAAAATATGTCATTCTAATGGTCACCCAGGTTTTTTAATCCCTGTAATACAATCTTTATTACCTCTTAAAAAGTGAAAAGAAGAAATACTTCTCAGTTCTTTTAGCTGAGTAAAATTAAACCTGTATGTGATAAATGCAAGCAGGTTGCAAATAGCACTTGATGAGTCAATTCTATTAGCAAAGGAGCAGTATATTTTTCTTTGTAGACTTTCTAGGTATTTTATTTTTCTTGCCTGCATTTTTGTTTAACTACTCCTTTATAGAAGGAAGAACATATACATCTCTCTTTGAATATTTAAATATCTACTCTACCAAAAAAAAAGTGAATATTCTATCATGTGAGTAGTTTTAAAAACCAACCACTTATTGAAGGCTCTTATCTGTCAGGAACTATGCTAGATGTCTGGGATGAATAAGAAATGAAACAAAGCTTTTTGCACCATAACAGGAATAGAATTAGCATTCAATAAATTGTTAACACATATTAATCTATTAAATGAGTAGTCCCTATCCTTGTTTCTCACAAATGGATGAATTTAATGGAAAAGAAAAGTTCTCAGGCATTTTCAAGAATCTAAGGGCCATTTTTGATGTCCTTCCCCTTCTTTTACTAGAATTTGAAAAAAATCTATGTTTTTCTATAGGGTACTTACATTTGACCATGAATTTATTTATGCCCTTCTCTGAATTTATCTTCTAAATAGTAATTATCATGAAGACATGATGTGTCACTGATTAATCTTTTATCCTCAAAACTGACATTCAATTAATATTTACTGAATTAATAATTGAATGAACAAATGAGTACTTACTTACATAGTTCCTAGACCTTTCTGGGAATAATGGGAAATGCAATCTTTTTTTTTTTATTTTGATTTTGAACTTCTGATCTTAGTGCCTGATGAAGTTTGCAGCCAATGTAGTTTCTGATAAAATGCTCATTTGCTTGTTTTTCATGAATTAACTCAGCAAGTATTCTTTCAAAAATATTCCACAACTTATAAAATGTTATTATTTAATTTTTTGAGGTTTGTATTCTGATTTTAAAATTAAATACAGAATATAACCCCAATAAGGAAAAAGATATTTATTCATTTTGATGTTGTATCACCAATATCAAGAAGTTTAAGGCACATGGTGCACACTCAGTAAATAGTTGCTGAATAAATATATTAATAGAAAGTTTATGAATTACAATAAAAATGGTTCCATAGTCAGGATTTGGTCCCAAGTTTTGTTTTGTTTTGTAAATTTATTTTTTAAGTTAAAGTATAAATTGTATTTGTATTATTTATTTATTATTCATTCTATTCTAAACATTGTAATTATTGACATAAAAATTACAATTTAGTTGTTTAAATTGAAGTATCATTTGAAGAATAACATGCTCTATATGATATAATTTCACAAACTTCCAAAAACGTTATCCTTTAAAAGCAAAGTTTGGAAATAATGCCTTAATATTAAGTGATATTGAGTCACTCCTTAAACATAAATGTATATTTCTAGTTTATATTTAATACTGTAATACTGACATGTCATGCTACATGTTTCTAATAATATTACACTCATTTTGATCAATTAAATAGTATCCAAGCATAATATCAATTACTAACTGAATTTTTGATAGATAATTGAATTTTGGAAGAAAGAGAAGGTAACATTATCATGTGTTTTGTTGTAGGTACGATTCTAGCTGATATGCAACCCTTAAATGTCACTTTCATTTGAGTTTACAAGTAGCATTTAACTCCTCATTTCTAGAAAGCCAAGAAAATTTCAATAGGATAGATATATATGTGTCCTTCTTTTTGTAGCTACCACAATTTTATAAGAACCAGAGCTGTTTTCTGTATTAAGAATTGAAAGGCAGGCTGGGCATGGTGGCTCATACCTGTAATCCCCACTTTGGGAGCCCAAGGCAGGTGGATCACTTGAGGTCAGGAGTTCGAGACCAGCCTGGCCAATATGGTGAAACCCTATCTCTATTAAAAATACAAAAATTAGCCGGGCGTGTTGGTGCACACATGTAGTCCCAGCTACTCCAGAGGCTGAGGCAGGAGAATCGCTTGAACCTGGGAGGCAGAGGCTTCAGTGAGCCAAGATTGTGCCACTGCACTCCAACCTGGGCAACTCTATCTCAAAAAAAAAAAAAAAAAAAAAAAGAATTGAACGGCAATATAACAAAATTCTTTTAAAAGTCCTTATGTAATAGTATTGAGGTAGTTTTTCTATATTTTTTACAATGCACATTTCTTTTCTAACTTTCCACTGATAGCACACTGACTATTCTTGTCATGTCAGGGAGGAGAGTAGAGATTTTTTTTCTACAGTATTTTTTGTTATCAGTTCCTCCTCCCTCCTTCTCATTATCAATTTCCATATTATTTGGAGATAAATAGATACAATAGATGCTAGGGCTAGGTGAAAGTGAAGAGAATCCATATCGATCTGTTCTTTTCTATATTTGTCTTTACAAGATGCTTCTTGCTTCATGAGGCAGAAGTGAAAGAACACTTTTCTCTTCAAAATGTCAAATAATTCATTATTTATAATAAATAGGTCCATTCAAGCCAATCAGAGGTGGGGCTGGAAACTTCCCTCAATATGGAGAAGGATGCTGGCTGGAAACCCATGGAGATGAGGTATTTTGTAGGACAGATCAAGTTCCCATAATTATAAATTAGTCTCCAAAGGCACAGGCACTTCAATTCCTCCCCTCAACAAATGTATGCTGCCATGTACACACAATTTATAGACCAAAATCATTCATATTTATTTATTTGAGACAGAGTCTCTCTCTGTTGCCCAGGCTGGAGTGCAGTGGTATGATCTAGGCTCACTGCAACCTCCACCTCCCGGGTTCAAGTGATTCTCCTGCCTCAGCCTCCCAAGTAGCTGGGATGACAGGTGTGCATCACCATGCCTGGCTAACTTTTAAATTTTTACTGGAGACCGAATTTCACCATGTTGGCCAGACTGCTCTTGAACTTCTGACCTGTACTGATCTACCCACTTCAGCTTCCCAAAGTTCTGGGATTACAGGAGTGAGCCACCCTGTCTGGCAGTAATTCATATTTAATTATAAGCATTTTCCTTTAAAGGCACTTATCACAGAATAAAAGAAACGTGTTTGCACATTGAATCTTGTTTCTGAATTTACTAGCTTATGTTATCTGGCTCCACTGCTTACCACCTTTTGTGAACTCTTTCTGACTTAGTTTTGTTATCTGTAAAGTAAGGAAAATTATAGTAGTATTGTGAGGATGAGAGGTAAAGGCAAAGTACTTAGATCGGGGTCTTGCCTTAGTAAGTATTCAAGAAATATTAATGATAACATTCATAAAAATAATAAGCACATTCTTATGTTGGCTATGAAATCAGGTCCGTTTGTGTTTGGACACAGGACAAGCTGGCATGGAAACTTACAATGGTTCATTCATTCATAAAAGCTCTTAGTGACTTAACTATGCCAACTAGTCCAAGAGACCATATTTTGGAACAAATTGGCAAAATCAGTTAGATGCCCATATGCTCAATAATCTCAATGGTGTGAAAAAAATGGCTCATTGTAAACCAATGGTTTTCTAGGTGGAGGAATTTGAATGAAAAATAATGTTCTACTCAGAAAACAAAGCAGAGCTAAATTGGAGATGACAGCTCATCTGGATAAAGATCTTTACAAGCCTCCCAGTAGAACAGGGGAAAAAACATAAAATAATGAATTCGGAAGAAATTTATTTACGTTTAACTTTTGCTTTTTTTTAATTTTTCTATGCCTCAATGTATTTTTTATGGTAAGACTCCTGACATGAAAAGAATTATTATGTTCTCCATAATACAGATGCATTTAGACACAGTTATATATTAAATATATTAAATTAGTTCCACAAATGGGAAATCCTAAAGATAAGCCTTTGCATATAAAAATTTGCACAGTTTTGACTGAGCTGTCTAATTAATTCAATAAATATTTACTCTGTTAGGAGGAACACAGAGATAAATATAACAGCCTCCCTCATATTTAGGAGCATGTAATATAAATATAATGAGAAAAAGTGATGTGCACATTGGTACAGATAGTATTTATTAAACAGTTAAATGTCATACACTTTGTTAGGTGTTTGCACAGATCAGCCCATTTAATTTTCACAACATCCACCTGTTACAATATACACAAAGTTAAAGAAGAACAGCCCTCCATGGCTGAAGACTGGGAAGCCGGTGACTATTAAATGTGGTTAAATACAACTCAATGTGATATATGACCTCAGCGTGAACAGCTTCAGTACAGAGGAGAAGACATGAGATTGAAGTAGACAGAAAGGAACTGGATAATAAGGAAATGAAAGCCGAGAGCCACAGATTTGTGTTGGACATTAAAAGAGATGAGTTGATTGTAAAAATGAATGCAGATGAGGTCAGGGTGTCCACTTTAAGAGGCTTATAAGTCCTTGCTATCTCCTTGCAGCGCATTTGAGAGAGGGAATTTGGTGTCCTTTGCACAGTCATGTTTATTGGGGTTAGGGTCATGAAATTCTTTTTTTATAGTGACAGACATTTTCTAAGTCCTAAACATTGTAACACTTCCAGAAGATAATTCTTGGACCAATGAATAATAATCTATCTTTCTCACTTATGACATTTAAAACCAAACTGGAGAATAAGGCCACAGTATTACAGTTCAGAGTGTGAATGAAATCTACATAAATTATGTAAAATATTCACTTTCATTTGTTTTTCTTTTATTTTTATAATTATAAGTTGTGAAGTAATTTATTCTACCATAAATATTCTGTTCTGTCTTCAATAACAGAATTGGATGGATGGGCATAAGCATTACATTAAAAATGATACCAAAGTGGTATTACATATAAAATACATTTTAAAGTTGAACTTGCAAATGAGCATTATTCCTGTGTTCTCTTTGTACTGTCCTTAATAATATGCATGCCCTTCCTCATTTCACTGATATTGTGTGAAATATACACCGAGGTACTTTCCCAGATTAAACAATGATAGATCTGTCAAGAAATCACAAGCTAAAGCCATTTTTTAATTAAAAAGATAAATAATTTATAGAATTAAATGCACCAAATGGAAACTGTTGCTGAAAAGAGCTAGCTTGTGGTCTTTTTTAATATTCATGAGGGCCTGTCTCTACATTTCTGCATCTGCCTAAGTTTTCATTGGCCCCACATCATATACTTTGATGTATTTTATTTTTACTTTTTATCAAATTTCCCAACCTTTCATGATCATCTAGCAGTTAGGTTTCTAGTTTCCCCTGGCCATTACTTTGTCAACTTTATTCTCTTTATTAATATTTATTCCTCTGTTTTATGACATTAAAAAACAAGTCTAGCTTGGTCAACAAAATGAGACTCTGCCTCTACAAAAAATAAAAATATTAGCTGGGCACTGTGACTTATGCCTGTAGTTCCAGCTACTCGGGAGGCTTCAGCAGGAAAATCCCTTGAGGTTGGGTGCAGTGGCAAACGCTTGTAATCCCGCACTTTGTGAGGCCAAGGTGGGTGGATCACTTGAGGTTAGGAGTTCAAGACCAGCCTGCTCAGCACGGTGAAACTCTATCTCTACTAAAAATACAAAAGCTAGCCGGGGGTGGTGACAGGCACCTGTAATTCCAGGTACTCAGGAGACTGGAGGCAGGGGAGTCACTTAAACCCGAGAGGTAGAGGTTGCAGTGAGCTGAGATTGCACCACTGCATTCCAATCTGGGTGACAGAGTGAGACTTCATTTCCAAAAAAAGGAAAAGAAAAGAAAAGCCCCTGAGCCCAGGAATAAACGTGGTAGTGAAGCACAATTGTGTCACCGCACTTCTTGTCTCAAATGTGTGTGTGTGTCTATTCTTCCATTTAGCAGGCAACACACACATTTTTCATTATCAATTTTAATACTTTAAATTTTAATATCAGTTTATTTGGTCTAAGTCCTTAAGATATATTTTCTAATTAAGAGGTAAATATAGGGGGATTGTCTATCATTTATACCTTTCATCACCTGCACACTTTTAGATGGAATACATACAACATGCCAATCAAAGTTAGTCCACACATGCACAAATGTGTTTGTATTAGAACATTTAAAGAAATAAAAAAATACACAAAAATAATTTTAGGTCTTAGTCAATAGTCACATTTTGAGGATTACCTATTAGTATATAGTGACTCAAGAGTATATGTATATGTATATACGTATATATTTATTTAATTTGGAGAAAGGGTCTCACTCTGTTGCCCAGGCTGGAGTGCAGTAGAATGATCACGGCTTACTGCAGTCTTGAACTCCCAGGCTTAAGTGATCCTCCAGCCTGAGCCTCCCAAGTAGCTGGGATCACAGGTGCATACCACCATATCCAGTTCATTAAAAAAATAACAACCACAAAAAAACATTTACAGAGATAGGGTCTCACTATGTTGCTCAGGTGGGTCTCAAACTCCTAGGCTCAACTCTTCCCCCTGCCTCAGTCTCTTAAAGTGCTAGGATTCCATGTGTGAGCTACCACACCCAGCTGGGAGTATATATCCTGAGAGAAAGTTTATATTTAACTGTAATAGTCCATAAAATTTGAGTCAGAAAGCCTTGAAAATGGAATCTATGATATATATGCAATATTACGTCATTATTTTAGCAAATATGTAAAAGGAGTTTTACTGTTTTTAACTTACCGTCAGAAAGTGTAACCACTGTTATATCATCAGTAGATACTCCTGGGCCGTAGCGATTATAAGCTAAGAATCGAAGACTATATTCGGTGAATTTTTTCAGGCCTTCCAGTTTGTAAGATAGTCCATCAACCTCTATATTCTGGAGACATAAAACAGCAAAACTGTTATCAAGGAAGCACATTAAAGTAGAAATGGCACTCATTCTGTGCAATCAGTGAATTGGACATTAGACTCTTACAAACTACACTCCAGACTTCTAATGAGCTATAAAACCTACCTTGTGACACAGACTCCCCCATTAAAAACCAACTACTTTGTAGACTCCTTGTTAAAACAGCACATACTATTTTTACAGTCATTAAGTTCCAATTTGTTTAACACTACTCAATATACTGAACGGTTTGGGTTATTCTACCCACACCTAAACGCTCCCAGGCAGAAGGCAGTTTATAACGCCATGGGAACAGAGATTTTCTCCTGTACCCGAAACGGAATAATTCACCAAGAAATAACAGACTTTGTACTTCTATTGCTGAAATATTCCAACAGCACTTGAAACTGTCAGACACTTTGCCACAATTTTTATCTCCCAAAATGCTGTTAGATTGGTTGAAATTATTTGAGCATCTCATGGCTGCAGTGAGTGAGCTACTGGAGGTGAAGGTCACTGAGGAATCAGATCTCCACACTCACATCTATCTTGGATGATTCTGGTTTTGAATTTATTTAAATTGATTGGCAAAACGCATTGAAGAGCTAAAATATATAGAAAGGCAGATAAAACAGAAAGCGGAAAAAACAAGAGCTAAAAATAGCTTGAAGAGAGCAAGAAAAATAATACAACCCATGATTACATAGGAGGAGCTCTTGTAATGCTTATCGTATAATATAATTTGGGACTGGGCTTGAGCTATTTTTGAATATAAAATATTTCTTATTTTTAAATAAAAATTCTGGTCATGTAGTTTATGTGGAATTCGGAAGGCCATTCTATGCTTGACAAGCTTCACAACAAATAATAAGAACTCCTATATCCTGAGGCCAATTTTTGATTTAACTATTGAATATATACTTGTCTGTATATATTTTCCTACATGAAGTTGAGAATCTGAAAGTAAATACTTCAATAGCTATACATACATGTATACATGTACATGTATTATAATACCTATATAATATGTTCAGAAAGTGTAACCACTGTTATATCATCAGTAG